TCATGTCATTCAATCATTCAAACCTCAATCATAGAATCAGTACTTGGGTTCATACAATCAAACCTAACATAAAAATCTAGGGTTTCCCATACCCAGATGAATGGGAGAACTACTCCATGGAGAAAGAAGCAAAAGCAGTTTCAGACGCGGAAATCATACTATGAAGGATGGATTTCTGCTCCTGGACGTTGATCGGCACTCCTACAAGCTCAAGCCAAGCTCCAATGGTGATGAAGATCAAGCTAGGGCACTTGGGAACTCTTGTTCGTCGCTTTCTCTCTCTAGGAATCGCTCTGTCTCTCTAAAACTCGAATCCCCCTCTCTTTTGGCTGAAATCTGCCTAAAAGGGCATCAGTGGGCAAAACACGGTCGAGGGCACGGCCGTGCTTTGCTCCAGCCCGCCCGTGCCTTGCCACGTGGTAAAAACACGGGCTGCTGCTTTGGGAAAACACGGGCGTGCTTGATGATGGACACGACCGTGTTTTGGGTCAGTCCCGCCCGTGTTTTGAGCTGGTGTAGGACAAACGTGGAGAAAGCCTCGACAGTAAAAGCACGGTCCAGGAACACGGCCGTGCTTTGATTTAGGCGCGCCCGTGCTTTGGCTCCAGCTCGACCGAATGACTTCCGAATGCCCCGAAACTCGTGCTTAGCCTTTCCTTCGACGTCCGGGACCTGAAATGTGACAAAGTAGCACAACCCGACGTAAAATAGGCCAAAAATACACGACTATGCTCCACAAACGGATAAGAACTAAGGGTGCAAACATGTGCAATTTCATCGTTATCAGAAACCTCCACCCAACTTCAAGTGAAGTTACTTCAGGTCTACCACAAGTCATCGTAGTCATACTCAAATTACTAATACAGCTAAATAATCTAATGAAAATAGTCGATGGGTTTTTTTTAGCTGACTTGGCAAAACTGTCCAAATTTTCAGGTTGAAAAAGGAAAAACAAATGAAATTTATATTGACTAGAATCGGAGAGATTACACAATGTAAAAAAACGAAATGATGAGAGGACATTACAATAAAATTTTAGTCCTTGGTATATAATTTTTCTTTCATCAAATTATGTTGTGAGTTATAGGAAGTGATTTCATAAACGAGTGCACAAAGTTTGATCCACAAACCATAACGTCAAAGTATGTTGTTCACCACATATGTTCCTTTGGACAATCTCAAGTTCAGTGACTCCAAATGAAGTGGATTAAAGGAAGTGAATTCATAAACGAGCGGATCTAGGATCTTGGTTTTTCAAATGCCTCCACACAATAAGTCACCGCCCATACTCTTCTCGATACACTTTCTTAACTTGATTCCATATAGTTATTTCGTTCAGGGGTGTTTAAGACTTTCCTTAGTTTGTAATCAGTTTGTTCTTTACACACATATAATCGTGGGAATGCCATTGCTTTAATACAGAATAATAACTAAATATGTTCATTTATTGTAACATGATATTGTCTTTTTGGATGCTACTACTAAGTTCAAGCACATGGGATGACGGCATAATACAAAAATCTACAAAATATTTTGCTTTAGGTTTCCTTTCTCCTTAAAAGAAAAACGAAACATTCTCCCGAATGACTCATTCAAGGATCTAACAATCAACCTCGTATACACAACATCCTTCCCAAGAGTTTGAATTTGTGTGGCGACATTTGTTAATTATGAGATTTTGTGCCATTTTGGTCCAAATTATCAAAATTGTGGTATTTTGCTTAAATTTAAAATCGTTACAAAAATATCATTCCTTCCTAGTGTAGAATAGTAAACACACAAAAAAAATCCAACACATTTATTTATTTATAAAAAGCAGGACGAAATCGTCCTAATTCATAACATTAACAGAACGAGCCATGATGATACCCATAACGTCATACAACAACCACAACCATTGATATAGGTTCTGGTAGCACATATCTAAATAATGTGTGCCAAAAGGTAAACCATGACCCTTAGAAGTAAAAAAATTGGCAACATAATTACTCCCTATAAACATGCTTCACAAGAGCCTACCAATCACGAATTAAGAGTTGAAGCAGCCCACGGTGGTGACTATCATCTTTCCCGTCACAAATTATGCAAATTGATGTTTCTGGTTAGAGGTTTAACTCCACTTTCATGAAATCTTTTTTGCCAAGCCATCTCGAGGCCCACGCTGCTCCTTTGAGCTCAACACTGGTTATAGAACATATATCGATGTTGAAAGAGAACACATCCAGACAGCTTTTGGGGTTATCTCTAATAAGCACTCTTGGTCCATCAACACTTGTTGTACCCAAAACCGATCCATCCATTTGGACTTAGATACACCCTTCTCTCGGGGGTTCCCATCCCTTTTGTTGCTCCATCATCCGACATTTAACAAGGGATAGGCGGATAGCAACACTTTGCGACGTTGACTTGTAGATGTTGAATCAGGCTTTGGTTATGCATATTATACCTTCTTCTAAGTAATTCTTACCCTCCATAAATTCAACATTTATCTACTTCCAAAAGAACCAGCAAATGATTCCAAATTCCATATTAGTATCATCGACTTTGATATTTCTGCTAATCCACGACTAGAAGTCAATGAAATTATTCTTATATTTGACCTTATAGTTCAATGACTTACGGATCCTTACCGTCTTCTTGCATCTTCTGATTATGTGCTCCCGTTGTTTCCTCATCATCAATGCAACGGTTGCAGATGTCTTTTTTTATGTGAGGTGACATTTCTTTCTTTATGCACTAGTGAGGAGTCTGTTGTGCGTAGGGATGTCAACAAAACCCGAACCCACGGGTACCCACCCGACCCAACCCGGTCAACGCGGGTAAAATCCGTGTTGACGGGTTTTGGGCCGGGTTCGGGTTTAAACCCGCTACACTATTCACCGGGTTGGGTTTGGGTTTAGGTAAACCCGCCCCATGGGTACCCGCCCACACATATAAATACTTTCCCGATAGATTTAATATTCTAAATAATATATCTTCTTTAAACAACTAATATTATTTATGTTTGTGGAGACATGTATAATTTGTTCTTTCTAATTGTTTAGAATGAAGTTGATATTATGGAGTGGAGAGTGAAGAAACTTATTTGACGAGGAAGAAGATTTCAATTAATCTTGTTGTTTATATATGTTTATCTTTAATTTCGAACAATTTATATTGATCATTTGCGATTTGTTTGTATGTTCTAGATTGGTGTTTTTTGTATGAATAATTTGTATGAGAAAATTGATGTTAAACTTTTATTTTGAAAGAAATTTGTTATTGTAAATTTTTTACCACAAAAACCCACGGGTACCCATGAACCCGCGGATACCCAGCGGGTTGGGTTGGGTTTGAGTTTTTCAAACCCAACGGGTTTTACCCCGGGTTTTTTTGGGGGATAAACCCATGGGTTTGGGTTTGACAAAACCCGCCCCAACCCGATCCATTGCCATCCCTAGTTGTGCGACACAAGCCAGAGGACCAATTTTGCTCTACTAGGCCGTCCCATTTCCAGAGACAGTTTCATAAAAGGCTAGGTTTCGTTTCCATTTCGCCATCCATCAGGTTGTAGAGTGGGCTCTGAATCTCCCATCTCCGCACCCCAAAGAGTTTTATAATTTCCAAGTACCGGTTTAGAAGTCTCCATACTTGCAATTCATACCAGTGTTCCATTAGGCAAATTAACTTTCAATCTCTGTCAGTCACACTCACCTTCGCCATTAACCCATTTCGCTACACACGAGTGCTTCTCCTCCATGGACAGATCAACGAGGGAATAATCCTCAATGAAGGTGTCTTTGTCAAGTCAGGATGGGTCCAAAACCCCGTGTTCTCGCCATTCCTTATGCTCCACACTAATCCTTTCTTCACAAAAGATACAACTTTTATGATTGCTCCTCACAAACTACAACGATTACTAGGCGTCATCACACTGATTTTCGCTTCCTGGTGATGGAAGTACTTCCCTTGGATGATATGCAGCTAAAAATCTATTTCGTTATTAAATATATGCCACTCAAATTTCACCATATAGGCTATAGATTAAACCTTCTAGCCAATCTAAGCCCTAAACACCAACCCCTTTTTTTCCAGTTACAGATGGTATCCCAAGAAACCAAGTGTACCTTCCTTCTTGATCCCCACAAAAACCATCAAAATTTTCTATCTAACTGTCCCGCAAACATATAATCGCGTGGATGCACTTTCTTAACTTAATTAACATACATAGTTACTTCATTGAGGAGTGTTTAAAACTTTTAGTAGTTTGCAATTTGCTCTTTACACATACAATCATGACAATGCCATTGTTGTTTCAATATAAAAGGATGACTGGATATGTTCACTTATTATAGTCCGATATTGACTTTTGGATGTTGCTACTAAGTTCGAGTACATGAGATGGGGACATAACACCAAAATCTCCATAACCTTTTGTTTCAAGTTTCCTTTCTTCTCGAAAGAAAAATGATTTATTCTCCTGAATGATAAATTTAAAAAACTAACAATCATCGTGTATTCAGAACATCGTCATCTCAAGAGTGTGAATTTGTGTGTTTACTTTTGTTATTTTTAAGAGGGCTAAATTACACGTTTGGTCACTCAAATTATACAAATCTTTCACGTTTGCCACCCGAATTACGTTTCTTTCTTATTCGCCACTAACTTTTCGAATCGTTTCACAGTTGGTCATCGGCCGTTACACTCCGTTAACTCTGTCCTGCGTGGCAGTCAACTATAAAGTTTGACCGTGAACTAGATGACGTGGAAATAAATTTTTTTTTTCTTTCCACCTCATCATTGCACTTATTTTGTCTATATAATTTATCATATTAATAATTTAATAAAATTTAATAAATTACAAAAATGGGCAAATCCAAATGCTCATCATCCTCAACCTCACCATCCACTCCCTCTCCTCCTCCTCAGACGTCGACAACAGTGTCCCTGCCGCCGCCAACAAGAGGAGGGGGAACTACTACGCCTTCAAGCGCGGGCCTTCCGCCCGGCCGCTGTTCAATTGGGCCGATCACCCTTCCTTAATCACCGACGCCGTCGAGAACGGATGGACCCGATTCGGCTTCGTCGCCGCCAGCTCTTACAGCAGTTCCTCCAAGCCTAGGAAACGGCTGCTTCTTCGCCGAGATCAAGAAAGTCAAGGTACTACCAACATTTCTAATTGAACCTCGCCTCATGTCCCTCGAATTCCCGAATGTGATTCTTCTTTTTGGGTTTTGGCAGAAGAAGGATGTGAAATTGTAGGATGCGATGTGCTATCTGCCAGAGAGCCATGCGTTTGGCTTCGGAATCGCGGCAATCGCATCCCTAGTTATCGCCCACGCATTGACCAACTTGTTCATTTGCGGCAACTTCTTGTCCTCTTTCTGCTTTTCTTCCAGAAAGAAGCCGGTCACCCCTCCTCTGCCTCCTTCCGCTTCTATTTCTTCTTCAACTTCGTCTTCTTCCTCTGCCTCCAAGAAACCCTCCATCCCCGCCCTCCTCCTCCTGCTCTTCTCCTGGTAATTCTCATTCCCAAAACCCACCACCATGAATTCGTCGGTCTATCTTTGGATTGGAACAATCAGTTGGGCTTCACTATTTTTATCGTACGCACGTGATGCTCTGTTTTCTTGTTTGAGTTGTTTCTCTCCCGATGGCTGAAACAAATCTTCAATTAGAAACCCCATGAAATGGACAGAAGAAATTAATTGAGAATTCGGTTCCAACTCACTTGCAAGCAATTCACACGCCTGACATTTGCCAGCTCAACCAACCCTTTCCTTTCCCTTCCCTTCCATTGCATTTCTTTAAAGTTTACTTCTTTTATTTGTTTTTCTCAATTTGGGTCAGTCGACAGTCGCCATTAATGATCTTTGTCTGGCGATTGAGGCGACCCTTGATTCTTGCCTTTGCGTCGACAGTCGCCATTAGTGTTTATTTGGATTTGCCCATTTTTGTAATTTATTAAATTTTATTAAATTATTAATATGATAAATTATATAGATAAAATAAGTGCAATGATGAGGTGGAAATAAAATTTTTATTTTTTTATTTTTTTTTATTTCCACGTCATCTAGTTAACGGTCAAACTTTATAGTTGACTGCCACGTAGGACAAACTTAACGGAGTGTAACGGCCGGTGACCAACCGTGAAACGATTTATAAAGTTAGTGGCGAATAAGAAAGAAAAGTAATTCGGGTGGCAAACGTGAAAGATTTGTATAATTTGAGTGACCAAATATGTAATTTAGCCTTTTTAAGCTGAATCGCTATTCGTCGCCCTAAAATTTAAATTTTATCGCCCTAAAATAAACTGAATTGGCACTCTTACCCTCCTGTCCCATTTCTAAACAAAACCCTACAATCCTTTACCTTGCCCAGCCACCATCGAGCTGCTTTGTCTTCCGGCCGCCGCTGTCACTGTAGGATTCTTCTCTCGGCTGCCACCTCAAGCCGACCGTCGTCGATGCTCTGCTACACCTCTGTCCTACTCCTGAGAATTCATCTCTTCGACCCACTGCCCGCATCAACCCGATCACCACCGCTTTCCCAATGCTGCTACCGGATTCTTTTGCTGCTGAACTGGCGCTATGCAATATGGAGTAGGTGGGCAATCCTCCGACCATATTCCAAGCGAGTCTACTTTACATTTTTTGGAACTTGTAATTGAAACTTGTAATTCAATAATTTATTTTTTTGGATATTTTGTTTTGTTATTATGTATAATTGTATGTGTTTGTTTTAGAGTTCATACGTTTTGAAAAACAAAAATTAAGTTAAGAATATTTAAGTCATTTTATTCAAAATTAGGGCGACGAATAAGATGTTTTAGGGCGACGAATAGCAATGCCCTTAAGTTTGTGCCATTTTGGTCCAAAGGATCAAAGTTGAGTTATTTTGCATAAAGTTAAAAATAGTTACAAAACCATCCTCCCTTGCCTCCCTTGGTGTAGAATTGTAAAGAAACACGGCCAAAACCCAACACGCCTTTTCTATTGCTTCAAATTAGCACCGCTGCCAAATTGAAAACCCCATTTCCTAGTCCTCTCCTCTCCTGACTTGCTGAACAGGAAAGGAACCGGAGAAGAAAGAAAGCCCTCCAGAAAGCAAAACTTGAGCATGTCGATGGCGGCAGCAGAGACCGGAAGGTCCGACGCCGACACGGAGGATTTGCTGGACCGAATGTTGACTCGGCTGGCACTGTGCGATGACCCAAACCTCGAGGCCTTGCTATCAAGGCTCCTCCCTCTCGCTATTTCCACTCTGTCGTCTCAGTCCACCGCTGTTCGGAACAAGGCAAGCTTTCCCCCACTCTCAATTCATGGCCGGCAATCCGAGTTTCCGCTCGCAATTAACTTCGTTTGGTGATCGAGAAAATAGCTTCTGCGTATGATAATTGCCTTAACACCCGAGATTTTGGGTTTCTCTCCGTGGCAGGTTCTGGAGATTTTAAGTCATGTGAACAAAAGAGTGAAGCACCAGCCTGAAATTGGTTTGCCATTGCAAGATTTGTGGAAGCTGTATTTGGATTCTAATGCTGCTTCCATGGTTAGGAATTTCTGCATTGTCTACATTGAGATGGCTTTTGATCGAGTAGATGTGAAGGTCTGTCCATCTTCTTGCTACTTTTGTATATGCATGTTTACTTTCGTTGTTCATTTTCGCGGGCTGACTCTTGGTTGTTTGCTTTAGGTGAAGGAAAGTATGACACCTTTGCTTTTAGAGAACATTTCCAAGCTCCCTCCTCAACACCAAGACATTATCTTGAGGAGTGCTGCCAAGGTATGACTCAAACTTTAGCATTTGTCCTTAATGATGAGTCTGGTTGTTCGGACCAGTTCATTTTGCCCTTGAAGAATGGAGTGTTGTATATGTTTAAATCAACTAGGCCTTTGTTCCTCCATTACTGGAATTCTTCTCGGGCGGATTTTATGGTAAGGTGATGCATAGATTACAATTCAGAAGATGTTCATTCCTTTGGTCTGGTTGTTAAGTTGACATTTTGGCAGTACGAGGAAAACCTGGGAGATAAATTGCTAACTCCTTCAAAACCTAGTCACTAATTTAGAAGGAGTTTCGGGTTGGTTCCGAGTGAGGAAGCTTGTTAAAGCACCTGTATTCCAGTATGGTTGGATAAGATACTCTTAAAGTTTGAAATCCCATGTTTTTTTTTGAGGCAATGTAAGTTGCTCTACTCAAAAGAAGCATATGTTCTGTGGAAAATAAAAGCAGCATCTTTTTGGTAACAATGGATTAATTGGCTAGTCTGAAGCTATATGCTGCTTGTCGGATCTGTGAAAAGTTTTTGGTCTTCGAAGGTGGTCGACTTCATTGTTTGGCATCACATTATCTCTAGGCTGCATATAACATACTTTTGGTGGCAAATCCTAGGCCCCTTATAATTAAATCAGTCATTCCAACTGTTGAATTAAGAAACAAATTCAGGAACTGCATGTTGAAGTAAAGATATGTATCCTTCAGTTTTTCTCTGGAATTCTCTAGGTGACTTTTTCTTTATTGCGGTATTGAAAAGCATAGCGTATAATAGATTTTTTTTTTCAATTGTCTCTTTGTTTTTACAACATGAATAATATTCATGAAGAGTCTTTGGTTACAGAATTAGGATTTGTTCCACAGTTTCGAAATCTGGTGCCTTTTTGCTATAGTTAGTTGTTTGACTTGGTTTCAGGTTATTGGTGAGTGTCATGCTAGTGAGATTGACGAACAGGTTGCTACCAAATATAGATCGTTTAGTGTTTCTCAGGATATGGAATTGTTCGTTGATTTCTGTCTTGACGTACTATTGTATCAACAACCATCGCAAAGGTATTGATCTCGTCCTTGTCATTCTTATATGAGGCTATTATTGTAGTGAATTCATTCGAGTGTGGACTGCTTTGATTCTAGTGGAGGTTGTCCACCTGGGCTTTCAGTTGCTAAGAGCAATCGTGTTGCTGGAAAGCATCCACTGAATGGTGATGTGCTGTTGACTAGAAAGGTGACATTAGCATTCAAGTTCTTTTGATGGTAAAATCACATGAAAGTGGCTAGTCTTCTCATTAATCTTTACTATGCAGTTAGGGGTTTTGAATGTTATTGAAGCAATTGACCTGGCTCCAGAACATGTTTATCCCTTATATTTAGCTGCTACTGCCGATTGGTAAGTGTGGTTCTCTGTATATCTGATTCAATAAGTTTCTTTAATCTTTATACACATCTTCATGAAATACTTTGTCCTCATATATATTACTCATGGACTTGATTAAACATTTGGTGATTGTTTTCACAAGTCAAGAGCCAGTAATTAAGAGAGGGGAACAGCTCATGAAGAAAAAGGCAGTGGGTGCTAATCTAGATGATCTGAATTTGCTGAAGAAATTGTTTACATTATTTAACGGTATGATTCGTGTTTTGGCAGTGTTTGTTTTGAAGAGATAGTTGCCGGGTTTCTCATTTTGGACAGAGAAAGTCATTTTTCATTATATATACTGATTCTCTACAGTGATATTGCCATCCCTTTGTCCTTATGTATGTTTTAGCCTGATTATTATCTCCACATACTTGGGGGAACCAAAAGACCACGAGTGGAGAAAAATGAAAAAAAAAAAGAAAGGAGAGGGAGTAGAGTTTTGTAATTTAGATAACATGTTGCATTGAGTTTCATAACATCCACTTTCCTAATGTGCTAGTGATCTTTATGCAGGAAGCATTGCGGTTGAAAGTATTGCCCCTGAATCAAGAGTTTCTCCCGGAAGCGTTGTGTTGAAAACAAAAATAATGACAATCCTTTGCCGGTCTATTGCAGCAGCAAATAGTTTTCCTGCAACGCTTCAGTGCATTTTCACCTGCATATATGGTACTATATTAATTGCTAGCTTTTACTTTCTGATGGTGAACATTTTGAAGACTGAGGCCATTTGCACCCAACAGAAGCCTTAGGATGCTAGTAATTATATGCTGGTGCACTTCCGGTGGATATTACTTATGGATGTTTGTCTATGTGATCTTTTAATTTGTTACTGTTGTTAATTCCAGAATGTAGCTATTACCTACTGTTGTTTAGTTTCATAATATTATTTGGCTAAAGGAACCGATCTGCTAGGTCAACCTTCATACGGGATAATTAAAGCCTTTCTGTATGACTTGCCAATGGACTTGCTTTACTCTTACCATTTAGGCGCTTAGATAACTCTCACCAGCTAGTAGACCAATATTTCTTGAATTACATAAATCTAGTTCTCTCGCTCTCCTTTTCTATCTTCTTAGTTAGATTTACTAAATTCATATAGCCTGTCACAGTTATTGTCATTTATCTTCCATGCTGGGTTCATCACAGATACTGACTTCATCTTGCTTTGGTGCTATTTAAATATACCAGGGAGTGGTACCACTTCAAGGTTAAAGCAGATGGGGATGGAATTTACTGTCTGGGTATTTAAACATGTAAGAGCCTTTCCCTGTGGCTTGAGGTGTTTCATGGAGTTATGATCAGTACTTGTCTTTGGATTGGGCTTTGGGGTTGAAGAAAGGAAATATAGGAGGGGAGCTAAAATGAGATACCTGAAAAAGTTAAGGGCACTACTTTGCTCTT